AATATCGTGTTGTCCTGGACCGACCTTAGTTCGAATCTGCACAGTCCCCATCACTTCTCTACTAGTATTGTCATATGTTCGAATTACCTGGGCAGTAGGTACAAAGTCCACGGGTTTTAACCCGATTGCATATGCCGTCCTCGACGGATATACGTTGATGGCAGATCCTGTGTCGACAAGAACTACTGGTACCCACTTGTCTCTACACTCCACAGAGATGTAGAGTGGTTTGTTATGGTTTGCGCCCTCAGGCGACAATTCTTTACCAGTAAAGGTCAACGTTGGGGAAGCTCCTCCCGGAAAGACCAATCCTACCAGCTTCTCAGGCGTGGTGTCGATTGAAAGTTTAGCCCTGTCTATTCCGGTCGGTTGTTCCCCCAATCCTCGTCTGTGTGGGCAAGACATAGGTCATCATCTTCCCACCACATCCCATCGGCCATTGACAAGCAAATATCTGGTTCTGTTACAACTGTTCCTATGCCCACAGCACATTCAGTTCTCGTGCTCACAGCACATTCAATCCCCACAGGGGCTTTGGCCTTCCTAACCTTTTCCAGATCTTCGATCTTTTCCCGTTCAAACTGTTTCGGCACGGCCTGCTGCTCAATATCCTCTGTACTCAAACTGTTTTGATCCCGAGCATAATTCTTAACACCGGTGCTCTCCGGCAGTTGCTCCTAATTCCTGGCCATTCCGGCCATTGTTGATGATATTCCAACCCCTGATTGCCCCTGGTCCGGCTGAAGTTGTTCAATAGCATCCGGCTCGTCACTGAGCCACCCGGTAGCTTCTGCTGACCCTTCTAGATCGAACCAGTTGACAGTCACGCCCCCTGTATCCTATTCTTCAAAGAATTACAGATTTGTAATGTCCTCATCTAGTTCTGCCAGGTCATCTAGCCCTTGATTTGGTCCATCCTCCTGTACGACACTGATCTCTGTCCGTATTGGGAAGTCCACCCTTGGCCTAGGCTGACCTGTTGGTGTGATGCAACCGCTCGGGTCGTACATATATCTCGTAGACCCCTCAGGCCCTGAACAATCATTTCCATTTGTTCCCACAACCATCCCGGTTCTATCATCGATAGTCACCACCATCGGCTCAGGTTGGGTTTGGGAGATGTCCAGTATGCACAAATCCGTGCTTTCTAGAATGAATGCCTCCGGCTTGGGTAGGTGAGAAGGGGTGATATATATGTTGGGGTCGTATGACACAACCCCAGTTTGGACTAGGTTAATGCGTTTGGGAGGTGGAGCTTGGTCATGTAGTAGGAGTGGGTTGGGTTGTGACGTTTGGTTTTTCCAACGGTGCAATCACCTTATTGTCAACGAGATCCTGGATATCGTGACGCGGTCTAAAGCACTGGTCGGTGTCGTGACCATGCTGTTGGTGATAGGCACAGTACTTAGTTGGGTTATGGAAGGGGGGAAGTGTTTCTGGCAATGGCCGCAGCTCTAGGGGCTTCAAGTGCCCTTTCTTAATTAAAACCCCCAAAGCTTTGGACAGGGGCATGTATAGTGGAGTGAAGGTTCGTTGGCCTCGAGGTAGGTACTTGGTTGTTTGTGAGTTACTTCCAGACACACCGATGAATGGTGTAGCTGTAAGGGTTCTTGGGGTGGTGGTGGTGACCATAGTCATATCTGAAGCTCTAGTAGCTGCAGTACTGCTTGTGCCTGCAAGAGAGAGAGAGAGAGAGAGAGAGAGAGAGTGTGGACAATCAATAGAGACGTTAGGCCCCTATTTGACCCCAAAAAAAAAAAAAATATTTCCCAAAATGGCTTTTGCTCACCTTAATATTCATACATATTGTCTATGCATATAAACAACACTATATATGCATGTAACGTTTGTGTACGAAGGTGAAGAAGGTGCCTCTGCAGATCTTGTCTGGGTTTAAGCATTTTTCAGAATGGTGAAGGGGCTGCTAATTTCCAACGGTGGCTGTTTTTTTGCGGCTGAATTACAGAGAAGTTGAAGAAAGACATATTGAGGGGGTTAGGTCAGTGGGTTCGTCAGTTTACCAGAGTTGTGGTGATGGGTTTTGGGGGGTGCTGGGTCAGGTGTGTTTTTAGAGAGAAAAAGGGCTTGTTTGGTTTGTTTTTCAGAAAAATTTTTGGGAAAAATTCTCTATAAACAAATTTTCAAGAGTAATCAAACCAAACAAATTTTTTCAAAAAAAAATCTCAAAATTTTGTTTGGTTACCTACTTTCCAAAATCAATGTCTCTCCTACACATCAAATCAATCAATTTTTTTAAAATTCTCTCCCCAAAACAATTTTCCAAAACCATTTCTAAAAAAAAGCAAACCAAACAAGTTTTCGTACTTTTTATCTCAAAAGCTACTCTACAAACACAAACCAAAATACCCAAAATGTCTTTGGATAAATTTTAGAAGGAGAAAAATGACAAAATAGAGAGATAGGAAGAAAATACAAAGTCTCAGAGTGGTCATGGGTGAGACGTTGAAGATGGTGCTGTTGGCTGGATGTGGAGGAAGAGAAAAGAGAAGAGAAGAGAAAAATAGAAGGTTTACATTTTCTATTTTTGCTCCCCCAACTTGGTCACATACGCATTTTCCATCCAAATTCCAGATGTTCATTATCAATTAATCCTATTAGAAACAAATTCCAAAATAAAGGGCAAACAATATGAACTACTCATGTGATTTGCCCTTCAATTATTGTCTTATAAAATATGAAACACAGTTGGGTACCAAATCTACCCTCTTCTTTTTTGTACGAAAGGCATTTTCAACCTCAATTAGCAGACAATAGCCCTTGAAGAAGAACTCATCATCAGTAAATAAAGAGGGGGAAAGGAAGAAAGGAGGGAGGGCAAGGAAAAACAGAAATAGATTCAAATTACCCTATGTTCCACTTTCATTTCCCACATCAACACTTTGCTTAAATAATTATACAATTATAAATTTATAATTCAGCTTTACACAAGTCACAACCCATCTCACCATGTCATCATTCACATGGTGTTTGATCTGCTAATTGAGCAGTCAACATAAATATAATAAAATTAAAATACTGAACAATTTTAAAAAATAAATTGTAAGTAGCAGAATGATGACCAGAAAACTATTTCATAGGTGATAATTATGTTATATTCTTTAATTGGAAACAAGGAAATGTGAGCTTCAAAGGGGTGAGACGAACTATAGCTGCTACTCTTCCAGAAGTCAACAATTAATATCACATACCCTAAAAACTTAATCAACAGCCAGAGAACAATGCAATGAAATAATGCAGCAACAAGTAAGATGGCCCCTCAGAGGAACACTGTGGTAGTGCATCGTGATATTCTAAAATCTTATGAGAAGTGCGCTTTCAGAGAACATCAAAAGTAACACTTACCCGTTTTATCTCTGCTTCTGAAACACGAGTCATATGTGGGGGAAGTTCCTCCTTCTCCAAGTCCTAAGCAATAAAAACAAAATTTAAGAAAGTGTGAGGTAGGTTATTATAGAGAACTTCTGCAGAAAGAGAAGGCAACAAATAAAAATTCATACCAGCTCGCCGATTAAGACAACATTCTCCCCACGGATTACGTACAGACCTAACGGGATGTCACAATATATATCACCTACAATAACTCGCTCACACGCACCTTCAAGAACAGCATTGGCTGAAATAAGTGCAGAGCTTTTGTCAGCTTAGTTAGCACTGAAAATATTAGCATGACAAACCTAAGTAAATGAGTACAAATATGGTACCAAATTGATCAAATGAACGAAGTATTCCCAACAGCTTTCTACCATCTCGAAGCAATACAAGAAGCTTCTCTGCAAAGAAAGACAAAAATTATTTATTAAAAATAAAATAAAATAAAAGATCATAAATGCCAAAGAACTAAAAGGAGGGAGGAAAACCACTGGCATCTCACAACTTCGAAGCCAATCTGTATCTACTTCCATCCTAAATTTCCACCAAATAGTTCATGTATGCAGTCACATGTTTGAAATAGGTACAATTTTTGCAATCAAGTAAACTGAATGAACAATTAGCTGATAAAAGTCCTCTTATGCAATAAAAGTTCCTACATTTGCAATGTCAAAGCCCCACGTGAACTTCAAGGCTAAACTTGAGGCCCTAAAAAATGAAACTTGTTCTTCAGCACAGAATGTGCACATAGTACTTACTACCCCTTTTTTTGCATGTTGACAGAAACAAATACATACAGTGCTGCAATTGCATCTAGTGACGCAATAATGTAATGATATAACAAATTTTATGTATATGTAATATATTGCCACGGAATTTCAATTTGCCACATATGATTTAATGCATACATATCTTTTACAAATAAAGCTAGATTTATTTTTTTCAATTTTCTTTGGTGTCAAATATAGATGGATGCATAGATGGTAACTCTGTAACAGTAAAGTTGGCATCCTTGGAACAAAACTACTCATCAAACCCAGGATTTTCCATGTTCAATTTGAAAAATCAACGATTCAATTTCAAAAAATGGAAAAGGAATTTAAGAGATCAGCATAATCATGCTATTATACATAAAGAGTCCTCCTTAATTGTGACTGTCAATCGGGCAATACAAACCCAAAGCTCACTCATTTGGCCCAAGCATTTTTGGGCTAAGTTTAGTGAATTTGAGCTGAGCCAGCTTTTTTGAAAATTAGGCCCAAATTCACTTTTGAGCTGAACCTGATCCTGACCCTGTGCTAAAAGCCTAATTGCCTAACTCAGCCTGAGCTAGACCCAGCTGAACAATGATAATATTTTAGGTTTGATAAACTAAAAAATATATATATTAACTTTGGGTCAGCCCAAAGCCTGATCAAATAACGTGGTTTGAGCTCAGTATAAGCAAGTTGTTTGGTGATGAGGATGAGCTTAGGTCTGAGCTTGAGAGAATAACTTTGGGCTGAGCTTGAGCAGCCTTATCCATAAATCAATATAGATACATTATAGAAAAGTTTAGGAATATGTGATGGGGAAGTAAAAAGTTCCTACTAAATTATGTACTTTTATAGAAGTATAGATGGTTTGACTTTCTTCAAAGGAAGCTTACAAGTCTAGCTTCCCTAGGCCTCATGTACACATGAATTGCACCCCTTTTTTGTTGCTTTTAGTGGACTGTTAATCAACCAAAACAATTGTTGCACCAAGAAAGATACATGATACAATTAGACATGCTAAAACAACCAACTGTTTCAAAAAGTAGAGAAAGACACATTGAGGACGTTACAATTAGAAAAATGGTCCAAATTTTACTTCATAACAAATCTGATTAAAAATTTCCCTTGACTATCATATTCTTATCCAACACTAAAACAAACATCCGTGTCTCAAAATAACTAGTGTCAGCAACATATTAGCGACATTTAAGCTCAATAAGTAAAAATATAATTGCAACAAGACATCTCCAAGCCATGTCCACTGTATCACTAAGCATGTCCAAGAAAGTTGTGCGCGACACCAATATAGACATGGCTGTTATTCATGACTCTTATGGTCTCCTGAATCTCCCCACAAGCAGACTATTCAATTTCCCAGTCATGAAGTTCCTATGCATCAAAGGACATTACCTAGTGTTGGTTCCCGTTAATTGAGGGTCCCCATTAAGCTTTAAATCTCTCTAAACTAAACAAGTTTTTCTTTTTCTTTTCAAAAATTCAACTTCCTCTGTACCTTTGTGAGCATATCTTCAGTTTACCATCAGTTTATATTGGATTAGCTTAAAAACACAAACAAGCATTAGAAGCATAGATGATTTCACAAAAAACAAGAGCAATGAACTGATAAATGACAAAAAATCATCAACACTTATCCTAAAACCCGGTTTCAAGCAGTGGCAACTCTAGAAATATTGGTTAGGATAGTCATTGAAAAACTAGATTAGAATTTATGCGAAAGAAATCACACTTGTCATCCACTTTCAATAAATCTCCTAATTTAAACTTTTTAAATCTAAAAAAATTAAAATATTGACACTATTATTTCAAGAAAAAGATATTAGATACATGGAGTATTACAATTGCTCTCAACAAGTTATAAGACTCATATCTATCTTGAAGGAGCTTTAAGCCTTTTTTAAAAAAAATTATTTGTGCCGTAATTCAACATAAGTTACATTTAATGAGAAATTTCGGGTATTATTATTTTTTTATGTAAGCATATTTTTTTTAGTCAACTGTTCATATTCAGAAATAAAGTGTATAAAACCTGCAATTTGGGAATGGCCTACATCACATCAACTTTAAATATATACGATACACTTCATTTATAGACTTTTTTCTGGTTATCTACTTCTGACGAAGGTATTACTTTTAGAATTGAAAGACATTATGAGTAAGTGTGCATAGTTTGGAGTAGATGAGTTAGGAGTTCAAGATTTATGAGATTGCGAATTTGGGTATTCAAATTATGAGAAGTGTATTGATTAATACATAAATTAACTATATATATCCAAAGAAAAAACACCCTGTCTTTCTTGTGCAGCTGCCACTGGTTTCTGGTTTCAAGTGCATATGAAATTCCATTATTTGAGTAGGTTTGTCATATTTGTTTAACATAATTCTTCTTTTCAATTATTTGCCAACATTTTTGTTTTTCATTTCTATCAATGGTGAGTTCATTCTAGGAAGTAGGCTAGTTTGAGAAACAAAATTTTCACAAAAATGCCAAAAACAAAATTTCAGCACAGTAACATTCTAAAAATACTTAAAAACTTTTTGACATAATATACATGTTGAAAACAGCCCAACAACAAGAACTTCAAGACAATAGCTTTCTAAAAGAAAACACAGCACATGTAACAAAATATTCAGCAGATAATATAGGAAGAGTTATGAATCTTACTATCAAGATAGCTTGCAAGAGAGGTTGATAGATAGATATCTTCTGGTCTTGCCCAAGACATTGAGCAAAAAATTTTTCGGTATCTAAAAAATCACTGAAAAATCTTCCGAAATCGAAGCAAATTGCATTGGCAGCTCAGATTCTCTCTGATACTTCTCTCCAGAAACAAAAAAGAAGAGCAAAAAAAAACCCTAAAACACAGTAGATTGAAAATCCTCGAACTCAACCCCAGACCTTTCAATTTCGACGATAGCAATAACTAAGCCCTAATTGATAATTAAACTTCGGTACCACAGTTCTTGAGATCTTGAAAAAAAAAAAAAGCTAGCTTTGATGCAAAAGATTCTGACTTTGGTTTGTCTTCCGGATTAATGGTTTTGAAAAACCAAACCCGGATCCAATCGCACCGGAAGAATTTGAAGAGACAATCGGAGAAAAAACAAATAGGATGGAAAGCGCGAGAAAGGAAGAGAAATGCGGGAAAAATTTTGAGGGAATTGGATTGGATTGGAGAGACTAAAAACTAGGGTTTGGACTTCCCCAAGAACTCGCGCCTCCAGAGGTATATATTTGTCACTACTACCTCCGTCCGCACTATTACTCTTTGATTGATGATAGATACAAAATATTATATTTGTATTATAAAATACTAGCATATCACTCGTGCTATGCACGGATTGTGTTTATAATTATTTATATATATGAATTGTGATTTTTAAATATTTTTTTTAATATCT